GAGGCATTGGTTTATATAGGAAAAAGTTGAATATATCAAATCATAATCCCGAGAAAATCCGACGAAAATTACTAAAATATTTATGGTTGCATGCCATTGACAAAAAAAAAAAAAGCTATGGCTTCAGAAATCTATGGTACACCACTCCTTTATTTTCAATCTTCATCCCTATTTTTTCGAAGCAACGGGTCGTCATCTCTGCCGTGCATGGCTGGTTTAGGGAACTCTTTTCTGCGATATAGTTCGGTATGGGCGTGGAGTGACTAAAGCAAAAAAAAAAAGTCGGAAATGATCCCTCATCTATACATCAACCTAGATTTTTCAAGATTTCGTGTTTAACAAATTCTATGAGAGATTACGTTTTCTCTCTTTGTTATGTGTACATTTTGTAATTAATTACGCATTTGATTGAGTAAGGGGAGTGTCCTGGATTGAAATTGCGATGAATTTTAAGAATCCTTTTAAATTTAGGCGCTCTCAATTAAGATTTTAATATATTTTAATTTTAATGAAATCCATTAAAATTTAGGTGTCTCCAATTGAAATTTTAATTAAATTCAATGAAATTCTTTAAAATTTAGGTATCATCAATAACTAGTGAATTTATAAAGATTTCATTAATAGAGGGATTTTAAAATAATTGGATGAATTTCAAGTTAAAAAATATATATAACCAATTTTTATTTGAAATTTCACAATATTTGATAAGATTTTTATGAAACTTGTAAAAATCTATTCAAATTCATAAAATTCATTAGAATTTATAATCTTTTAAAATCCAACAAAATTTTAGTTGAGGACAACCCCGTAGAATAAATTATGTTACTTATTGAGAATTGATCTAATGAGCATCATCGATGCTAATCTTATGTTAAACATCGATAACATATCATATTAATTAATTGGTGAATGACTTATTTAATTTAAATGTTGAGATTCATCAAAATGTTATCCATTAATGGATTGATATAATATGTTACCAGTATTAACATAAGATGAGCACTAGTGCTTTTTAGACACTCCTAATTATTTAAGGTGCATTTTTTGTTTGCTGTTTTTAGTTTTTAATTTTGTAGAACATCTATAATTTGTTTGGTCTATTATATCCGAAAAT